AGCAGCTGTAGCAACAAGAGGTGCAGCTGTTGCAGGAGCAGGCAGCACAACAGATGGAATGTCTGCACCATAATAATCACTGCCAGCATCTTCATTACTTTACAATCAAATCCAAAAAACACAAACTATATTGTAACGTTTAATGTCGTTCAAATTAGCGACATAAAGAGAGAGAGACGCATCAACTAGTCAACTCCAGTTTTACATCATGCAAGTCCCTATGCGGATTTTTTGTCAAGTCCGATATTAAAATGTCATAGATCGAATATCGTGACATCTCCTTTTTCTTAATAGTTCATCAGGTAATCGTTGTGCCAAGCTGGCGGTTTCCTTATATGGGTTGAATGACGTGGTTGAGTGACTGGTTCAGGAGTCACACCTGAGGTGTCATCTCGACGACAAATGGGCTGTGTTGTTTTTTGGCTCTTAATGGGAGATCTTACATCGATTTCATTGGCATCATTGTTTGGAAGATCTTCAAGTGTAGTGTGTGGCGGTACTTCGGCTGTTGTTCCTAGTTGGCACCTGTTGCGACGATAAAGGCGACCTGTGACTTCCACTTCGTAAGAGTGGTTAGGTAGTGCCTTGACGCAGCTGCCAGGAGACCATTTTGTGACACCAGGGAGTTTCATTCGAATTACTTGACCGTGGCCTGAGAATTTTGTTCTTAACATTACTGAACAGCGCCTATAAATCAGCATCGCCGGTTCATGCAAATTAGCCGGCAAAAAATTGCATAGAGCCTGTGTAATTACGTACAGTTCATGTGAATCATGTTTACATTTGCATAGACATTGTTTTTAAGTTCTCAGTTGAATTTACAGCCTATTCATTAACAAACAGTAACTGTAATGCAAGTGGAAATCGTTTTTATTTAACTTCTTCACACCTTGAAATTAAGTAATTAGCTGCGGTACAAAGAATATTGTTTAACCTTAATCAAAAAAATTTAATATGCTATAGAAGTAGTATTAATGAAAGTTTAAAGTTTTAAAGTGTTAAAGTTCAATAGAAACGGTTAACATATAGTAATTTGCTGAGTTGTTTGAGTCGTAAGTGGCTGCGTTTATTTGAAAATGGAATTATTTGAATTATGGAAGTGCTGTGAGACAAAATTTAATAGTTTACATTCCTAATAAATTAAACTGGATCACAGGTTGTTTTTCATTAATTCATTACAAACTGTACTCTTGTAAACCTAAAATGTGTACCTTATGTTTTACTAGCTTGTACGCTTCCTGTAGAACTTAAGGGTTTTGATCTTTCGACACAAAGAAATTCCCTCATATATTGCAGATTGACTCAGTCAATAAAAAAAGTTGCACATTGATTCCAAAATCTTTTCATAGCAGCATCTATGCAGTGTTTCTCCTCAAGTGGGGTCCCCATGTCATCTGTAAAATGTTTCAACAACTTGGATGTCCTCATCAGGTCATTTGGGAGCTGAGTCTTTGAGCTAGATGTAGATTGCTTCTACTAGAAGGATATAGTGCTGAAAGTAAGGTTGTTTACCATTTACCAATGGAACACAACTTTTTGGATCATTCCATCGGGAAATTTCTGGGAGCAATGGAACATCTGAAAAGGAAGTCCTGTTTTTCCGGACGGTATATTCCCAACAGAAATCCATGTTCCATTTCCTCAAAGCCATCTTTGATACTGGGTTCAGGTCTTCGTGGTTGTTTTTTGGTAAATGGAACTGATTTGTACCAATGGTAAATGCAATTCTGGGATGAAATTTACCAGTACTGAATTGTGTGTACCATTTGTCTAGACCATGGACTCAACGGTTTGCTCATGTAAATAACAAACAACCTAAATTTCTGGCAATAACTCATGCTAACAAGGTAATGAGTGAAAGTAAAAATGACCAAAGTTGTGAAGCCTTGAGGTAACCACATTCCCAATAAGGCTCCTCGGCAGCCTTGAAATGCAGCTTGGTGGCTTGATGGTGACATATCTCTTTTCTACTGCTCTTGCACACTTTCCAGTGTACCAGGGTTCATCATGGTATTGCTCGTCAAACCACAAATTGACAAGCGTTTTGACAACACCAATGTGCCATGCAGATAGTCAATTGCTACTCTTCTGGTGATGTCAAACCCTGGTATTGAAATAAGTAATGAATATCAAGTAAAACTTTAAGCAAACTTGTCCAAAGTTTTTATGACTTTTGGGCTAGTGCATGCTGCTGACTTTCTTTGCACCCTGCTGTGGAACGAGGACATTAGCCTTGCAGAGTCAATTTTCTTCCCATTGTGTAAGATGTTGACCTGAGTTAATGCTTGATCAACAGTAATAATAATATCATTAATAATAGTGTCTTCATCATTTGATACAATACATATCAAATGTTACATAAATTAAAGAAAAAGGATTTATTAAGGTACTTACAGAAATAATATCTGGTAGTGCTAAGTTGTATTTAAAGTAAGCCTATAGGAAAACTACTTTTAAAACGTTCAGTGTTTATCTTAAGTGACTACTACTTCATCTTAATCTAAAGGAGGATGCTTTCGATTGGAGCATGTGCATTGGGTGAGAACTGTTGCTTTTCTTAAAGAGTTTCCTATCATTTTCCCAAGAGCTTGTGGATATTTTAAAGCTTTGAGGAGAAGCGCCTCTTAAAAGATCTTTTCAGGAAGCATTGTACTGTATTGAAATGGGTTTGGTGTTCAATGGTAGTTACAACTGCCTTCGTATTGCCTTTTGTTAGAATTGTGGGAAGGTTAGGAGCTGGTGCTGTCTTGACTATTGCACTGGCTTTTGTTGGTTGAGCATCTGGCCATTATTGAAATCATGTACAGTCTGGAGCACAGGGATTATGAGAGCAAAATAGATAAATTGGCTTATGGCCCCTGACTTTTGAAAGGTTCTGAGACCTTTTGTAAAAGTATGGGCCATTGCAGTTATGGGTAGGCCAGATAAAAGGGAATTTGGAAATGATATGTGCAGTATGTGACAGCACGTACAGTATTTTTAATGTGGTTTGATTACATAACGTTTTGGGGTTCTTAACTATGTTTAGTCAGGTTTTACAATACTCAATCAATCAATGAATCAGTTGAAGTTACTCAGGATAAAGAGCAATGAATCTTTATAAAATGACGCACTACTCTGTTTTAGTTGTCACTTATGTTGATATGCTCAAGTCCCAGAATTAAGAAAAAAAAAATATATGGATGATAGGCATATGGCACCAGACTGCTTTTGTAATCGATTAACACTAAACGGACTTTAATTTTTCAAACTTTTCTCAAAGTCACCTCTTGTTCCATCTTTACTTTGGTATGGAACACTTTGGACATAATGCTGAGGGCAGATACAATATTGTGCAACAACAACGCAAACTGCATTACATCCGTCTTTGTGAGCAACTTGAGGAAACATTTAGCCTTGTTCTTGGATGATGTTGTTTGGTCTTCTCTAGGTGTTGTATTTGCTCTACATTAAGTGGCTTGCCTTTGAAAAGGTCAGTCAAGGCTGGTAAAACTTGACCTAGCCAGTGAGTCCCGCCCGCTTTCCTGGGAACACCTACATGTAAGTTTGTGATATTGTGTCTTACATTTCACTACCTGTCAATAGTTTGTAAATTAAAAATCTTTGCTTATTCAAAAAATCAGGAAAATGCCCAGCTGCTGCAAATAAACAATCCAGTTCCCAGTGTTGTAGTTGCGTGACGTTAAGCACTGGAGTTTGCCAGGTCAACCACTGTGAAGTATGGGGTGGTCAGAATTGAATTTTCATTAAAATCAGGCTTGTCCTACTATTTTCAGAACTTGTGGTGAAGACAAGGGAAAAATGTGCAATTTTATGTCAGAAGAATAAAAAACTACAACTTTTCCGTGCAAGAAAAAAGAAGGAAAAAAAACTACAAGATTTACAAGTGTGACTTGACTTGACTGACAGTCTTCAACTGGAGGGGGAC